CATTTTAAGGGAGCAATTATCTTTGCTCTGATGTCTATGAAAATATTTCTTTATATTATATGAAATTACACTTATGGCTTTTAAGTATTGATAGTATGAAAATGCATCAAGATATTAATGTTCTGGCCTCATTTTCTCATTCGCATGTAAGTAGTAAGACAAATGATTTCTAAAACTCTCAATGATTCTTTGTCATTTATTTCCAAAGAAAAATGTTATCCTGAACACTCACCTCATTCCGAACTTACAATAATGCTTAATGTGAGCCACAAATAACCTCTTCACTCTGATCTTTTAAAGGAGATTACATATCAGTGTTCTTCATGCTCCATGAAAAACATGAGGTGAATGCTGATGACCTAATATACAAGGACATTTCATAGCTCCAACAACTATCCCCAGGCCTTTATATAAACACTATGAATGTGAGTTACATCAATATTGTTTGCTTTTCAAAATATCCTCATATTCTGTCAATGCAAAACCAAAATTAAACAAAGAATATACTTATGCTTTCCTAAAAACCAAACAAAAAACCATCTTCTAGTGCTACTCAATATTTGACATTTATTTCAACTTGACCTTTCAGTAAATAAGCTTCCATATAAATTGCATCTGTAAAGTTTTCAGTCCAAATATGTTCCAATGGCATATATTTTGAACAAAGTCCAGTCCACATTCTTTAAATTTGTAGATTCTCTACAATGCACAGTCTAATGTCAAATAAAGTTTTGGCTGATTAATGTCTTTAGACATGTTTTACATTTGTACATTCAAAAGATCTGTGGTTTGAGTAAAGATAATGGTACTCTTTACATCTGTAAATTTCTCACGATGTCTCTATTGTTTATAACTAGATATATGATTTTCCAGTCATTAGAGATACTGAAAATTTAGAGTATAAATTGCCTGATGTTGAGAAAACTTGAAATAACACGTTTATCCCATTCTGCCCATCTACAGGGAGTCCCTAAATATAGTTGCACATATGTCAACCAAATATTGAATGAGAGCTAAAGGCTTTATATCTCCTTCCTCTCATTTATGTAGTTTCATCTCAGTATGGATTCATATGTGCAGCTAGTTGTATATGAGAGCAAAGGGCTTACCATGTTTTCCACATTTGTAGAGTTTCTCTCCAGTATGGATGATTATGTGTCCAGTAAATCTGTTGTGAGTGAATGGCTATGTCACATTCTTCACATTTGTAGGGTTTTTCTCCAGTATCAATGTACCTATGTTCAGTAAATACTTTATGAGAGCAAAAGACTTTGCCACAATCTTCACGTTTTTAGAGTTTCTCTCCAGTATGGTGCCTCATATGTATAGAAAATCATTTGGAGCAAAAGGCTTTGCCACATTTGTCATGTTTGTAGGCTTTCTCTCCACTATGGATGGTCTTGTGCCCAGCAAATCCTTTATGAGTGTGAGAAGCTTTGCCACACTTTTCACATTTGAAAGTTTTCTCAACAGTATGCATCTTGACATGTCAAGCAAGTAGTAAATTAGAGTGAAAAGCTTTTCTACATATATCACATTTGTAGGGTTTCTCTTCAGTATGGATCCTCTTATGTCCAGCAAATCCATTGTGAGAACAAAAGGCTCTTCCAAATTCTTCATACTTATAGTTTCTCCCAAGTATGCACCTTGGTATGTCTAGCAAGTTTTGATGGGAGAAAAAGGCTTGGCCACATTCTTCACATTTCTAGGATTTCTCCCCAGTATATACGGTCTTATGTCTAGCCAATCCTACATGACAGTGAAAGGCCTTGCCACATCTTCACATTTGTAGATTTCTCTCCCCAGTATGGATGGTCTTATGTAAAGCAAATCCATAGGGAAAGTGAAAGGCTTTGCCACATTCTTCACATTTGTAGGGTTTCTCTCCACTATGCACCTTGATATATCCAGCAAGCTTTGAATGGGAGCAAAAGGCTTTGCCACATTCTTCACATTTGTAGGATTTCTCCCCAGTATGCATGGTCTTATGTCGAGAAAATCCAGAGTGAGAGTGAAAGGCCTTGCCACATTCCTCACATTTGTAGGGTTTCTCTCCAGTATGGATATTATGATGTTGAATAAGCTTTGAGTTCTGAGTAAAGCCTTTGCCACATTCTGCACATTTGTAGGGTTTCACTCCAGTATGGATGGTCTTATGGCCAGCAAATCCTCTTCCAGAACGAAAGGCCTTGCCACATTCCTCACATTTGTAGGGTTTCTCTCGAGTATGGATACGTTGATGTTCAATAAGATTCGAGTACCGAGTAAAGTCTTTGCCACATTCTGCACATTTGTAGGGCTTCTCTCCAGTATGGATCACCGTATGTCGAGTAAGAAGTGAACGAGTGTTAAATGCTTTGCCACATTCTGCACATTTGTAGGGCTTCTCTCCAGTATGGATCACTGTATGTCGAGTAAGACTTGAATGAGAGTTAAAGCCTTTGCCACATTCTTCACATTTGTAGGGTTTCTCTCCAGCGTGGATCACCTTATGTCGAGTAAGGTGTGAATGAGTGTGAAAGGCTTTGCCACATTTTTCACATTTGTAGTGTTTCACTCCAGTATGGAACACTGTATGTTGATTAAGGATTGAACGAGTGTGAAAGGCTTTGCCACATTCTGCACATTTATAGGGCTTCTCTCCAGTATGAATGGTCTTATGTCCAGCACATTCTCCTTGAGAGCGAAATGCTTTGCCACATTCTTCACATTTGTAGGGTTTCTTTCCAGTATGGATCATTGTATGCCGAGTAAGGAGTGAATGAGAGTTGAAGCCTTTGCCACATTCTGCACATTTGTAGGGTTTCTCTCCAGTATGGATCATTATATGTCGAGTAAGGAGTGAACGAATGTGAAAGCCTTTGCCACAGTCTTCACATTTGTAGCGTTTCACTCCAGTATGGATCACTGTATGTCGAGTAAGATGTGAACGAGAGTTGAAGGCTTTGCCACATTCTGCACATTTATAGGGTTTCTCTCCAGTATGGATCATCATATGTCGAGTAAGGAGTGATCGAATGTGAAAGGTTTTGCCACATTCTTCACATTTATAGGGTTCCTCCCCAGCATGGATCACTGCATGTTGAGTAAGATGTGAACGAGAATGAAAGGCTTTGCCAAATTCTTCACATTTATTTATTATACATATATATTTGAGATGGAGTCTCACTCCATTACCCAGATTGGAGTGCAGTGGCCACTCCCAGTCACCACAGCCTTGATCTGCTGGGCTCTGGTGATCCTTCCACCTCAGCCTTCCTAATAGCTGGAACTACAGGTGTGAGCTACCATGCCTGGCTGCTTTTTTTTATTTATTGTAGAGATGAGGTCTCACCAAGTTGCCCAGGTGTGTCTCAAGCTCAGAGGCTCAGGCAATTCACTCACCTCAGCCTCCCAAATCTCTGGGATTACAGGCTGAGCCTCGGAGCCTGGCTCATTCTTCATATTTATAATGGTTCTCTCCAAAATGAATTTTCTGATGTTGTGAATGACATGAGTAATAGGTAAGGGCTTTGCCACATTTTTCACTTTTGAAGGCTCTCTTTCCCCTATGAATTCTTTCATGTCTATTTAGATAGGATGATTTCTTAAAAGCTTTCCCAAATATATTGTGTATATCTCCTCCAATATTTTTTTGATGTTGTCTAAATTTTGAGGACCTGTTAAAGGTTTTGCCATATTTGTGTTTGAAAGCCATTTCAGAAATATGGATACTCTGGTGGATAACAAATTTGGAGTGTTGATGAAAGACTTTCTTGCACTTGTTACATTTGCAATGGTTATTTGCAACTGAACATTCTATCTCATCGTCACCCTCATGCACACTTACCCAAGATTTTTGTAAGCATAGGATCTTAAGGACATATTTACCATATTTTCCCATTGGCATCTTTGCAAGAGAGTCTTCTATACTCTTCTCTGGCAAAAGGCCTTCAGTGTAATGAGAAGTCACAGCTGAAAATCAGGAAAATAAAAATTTATTCCACATGCTAGACTCAGGTGAATATTCTTTGAAAATAAAACATAATACTATACTATGGTAAGGATGTAAGTATGATGGCAAGTACAAATCACAGGTTTCCACTCCATCATAAATATAGGTACTTAAGAAAATACTTTCTCCATTGCCTGTGTGAGAACTCAAAAAACAGCTAAGACTTTGCAGAATCCACAATAAAATGTGTTACATGGAAGAGAAAGTTTAGTAATTTTGCCACTATAATTTCTCTTCCTTTACAATGCAGCATAATGATATCAGATGGGATGTTCTAACTCTTGAATTCTTCCTCAGAGAATAAACAGAAGAGTGGAGTATAAGTCCACATTTCTGCCTTTTGAGGGTTTATGCAAAGACTGGTTTCGGTCTCAACATACAGAGAAGACATATCATAAGAACAGGTATGCGTCTCCTAGAATCTCTAACTTAGTGACTGGTGTTATATTAATGTAGACAAAGCAACATCATAAACAGTATGACATGTTTATCTTTGAATTTCAAATACCCCAATTCAAACAAAGTATGCCAGACATAGAAAGAATCAGGATAAATGACTCAATTAAAGGTACAATAATTTATGGAGCTGCAAATTACAAAAAAGTTAGAGAAATTTTCATATGAAATGTAGAAACCCTTATTTTAACCACCACACTACTGCCTGGGTGACAGAGAACATGCTGATAAAACATAACCATAAAAAGGATTTGGAAAACATCCTTGATATTGATATTGGTCTCAGTAATAATTTTTTTAATGACTACAGGAATAAAAATAAATATAAACAAGTTGGAAACATCAAACTGAAAAGCTTCTGCAGACTAAAGACAATAGGAAGAAGGCTTACAGGACAAGAAAAAACACCTGCAAACCATATACTTGAAGGGATGTTAAAGAAAGAAAATGATAATCACTTGAATAAAAACAGCCCAAAAATGAATAGCTATTTTTCAATGAAGGCATACAAATTGCCAACAAGTATAGGAATTGGCACTGAAATTCACCAAAAGAGGCAATTTCAAATAAACACAATGATGATATATTGTCTCACAGCTGTTAGAATGACTAATATCAACCAGAAGAGAGAGAGAGAAAAATTCTGATAAGGATGTGAAGAAAAAGAAATCCTGTATACTCTTGGTGAGTTTAAAATTGGTAGAGTCATATAAAAATCATTATCAACATACTTTTAAAAATAAAAACAAGGCTGGGCTTGGTGGCTCAGCCTGTAATTCCACGCCTTTGGGAGACCGAGGTGAGTGAATTGCCTGAGCCTGTGGGTTTGAGATTCGCCTGGGCAATTTGGTGAGACCTCATCTCTACAATAAATCAAAAAAATTAGCCGGGTGTGGTGGTGTACGCCTGTAATTCCAGCTACTTGGAAGGCTGAGGTGGAAGGATTGCCGGAGCCCAGCAGGTTGAGGCTGCGGTGGATGGGAGTGGCCACTGCACTCCAGTCTGGTAACGGAGTGAGACTCCAACTCAAAAAATAAAATCAAAATTAAAAAATATAAAAACAAACTGCCACATAACACAGAAATTCCCTTCGGGGTTTATAACCAAAGGAAATAAAATCAGAATGAAAAAGAACTCTCCGATCCCTATGGGCATTGCAGCATTTGTCAAGATGGTCAAGCTTGAAAACAACCTAAATACTTGTGGAATCTGTATTGATTAAGAAAATAATGTAGCCGGGCTCGGTGGCTCAGCCTGTAATCCCGTGCCTTTGGGAGGCTGAGGTGAGTGGATTGCCTGAGCCCGTGGGTTCGAGACCCGCCTGGGCAGGCGAGACCTCATCTCTACAATAAATCAAAAAATTAGCCAGGAGTGATAGCGCGCACTTGTAAATCCGGCTACTCGGAGGGCTGAGGCGGAAGGATCGCCGGAGCGCAGCAGGCGAGGCTGCAGTGGCCGGGAGCGGCCACTGCACTCCAGTCTGGGCGACTGAGTGAGACTCCAACTCAAAAATAAAAAAATGAAAATAACGTGTACACACACACACACACACACACACACACGTATATATATATGCACAATAGCATATGATTCAGCCAAAGTTTCTGCAAATTACAAAAAAGTTTGAGAAATTTTCATATGAAATATAGAAACCCTTACTTTATTTTTTAAAGAATTCTGCAATTTTAACCTTATGGATGACATTGTAAGACAATATGCCAACTGAAATGAGCCAGGCACACACACACACACACACACACACATACTGCGTGAGAATGGGTACAGTGGCTCAAGTCTGTAAACCCATCACATAGGAAGACTGAAGTGAGAGGATTGCCTGAGCTCAGGAATTCAGGACAAGTCTGGACACCAAGGTGAGACCACAGGTCTATGACAAATACAAAAGTAAGCTTGGCGTGGCTGCGCATGCTTGTAGTTCCAGTAACTTGAAAGGCTGATATGGAAGGATCGCCTGAGCCCAGCAATGAGGCTGTGGTGGTCATTAGCATGCCACCGCATTCCAGCCTGGAGTGAGACTTCAATTCAGGGAAAAAAAAATTCTGCATGATCTCACTCCTGTGGAATCAAAAAACTTTGCACTCACAGAGGAAGAAAGTACAGCGTGGTCACCAGGACCTGCAGGTGGGAGAATGGAGATGTTTTCAATGGTTACACAATTTGAGTTATAACTGAGTCTTAGGGAACTAATGAGTAGCATCGTGACTTATCATTAATAATGACATCTCAGCCGGGCTCGATGGCTCAGCCTGTAATCCCACACCATGGGAGGCTGAGGTGAGTGGATTGCCTGAGCCTGTGGGTACGAGATCCGCCTGGGTAACTTGGTGAGACCTTATCTCTACAATAAATAAAAAAAATTGCCGGGCATGGTAGCAAATGCCTGTAGTTCCTGCTACTTGGAAGTCTGAGGGGGAAGGATCACCAGAGCCCAGCAGGTCGAGGCTGCGGTGGCTGGGAGCAGCCACTGCACTACAGTCTGGGTGACAGAGTGAGACTCCAACTCAAAAAAACTCAGAGTGAGACTCCAACTCAAAAAAAAATAGTAATAGATGTCATTATTACTATGCTTAAAATATTTGCTAAAATAGAAGACATTATGTGTTCTCCTTACAAAACATAAAAATAGCAACTATGTAAGATGGTTGATATGTCCATTAATATAATTGCAATCATCATTTCACACTGTATAGGCATATCAAATTATTACATTATTTACAACATATGGTTATACATTTTTATTTATGTATAAAAAATCAGATGCTAATCACACATAAACATGCATACATGTGTTTGAATATATTCATATATGAAGCTAGTCCTAAGCTTTATACTAAAGAAAATTAGAAAATAAGAGTTATTAAGAAACAAGGTAACATGTAGGAGTTTAATATATGTTTACCAATCCTCTACACGATATAGTATTCTTAAATATTTGGATATAAAGAAAAAATACCAGTCTCAGATCATACTATAAAAGTAAAATTTAATAAAATATCAGGATTTCTTCTATTAAGAGAGAGAATTTGTATTTAGGTAGGACTATTGAGTATGAATTTAAATAACATCATTGGAAATCTCCCTAGTATAGAAAATCATAAATTAGAAAATTTGTAACATGTGTCCGGAGTGTTCTTAAAATTTCTCAAACAGATAATAAAATCACTGCTCACATACTTCCAATCATGACTCAAAAAGAAAACATAAAAAATAGTTTGTAGCCAGGCTCGGTTGCTCAGCCTGTAATCCCACACCTTTGGGAGGCTGAGGTGAGTGGATTGCCTGAGGCCGTGTCGAGACCTGCCTGGGCAACTTGATGAGACCTCATCTCTACAATAAAAATCAAAAATTAGCCAGGCGTGGTAGTGCGTGCCTGTAATTCCAGCTATTTGGAAGGCTGAGGTGGAAGGATAGCTGGGTCCCAGCAGGTTGAGGCTGTGGTGGCCAGGAGCAGCCACTGCACTGCAGTCTGGGCGACAGAGTGAGACTCCAACTCAAAAAAAAAAGTTTGACATGGATATCCAAATAAATAAGGAAATACTTGCATGACTCCAAAGCATCAGAAAGGTAGTCAGATCATGCAGTTCCTAACAAAGCATTAAGTGGACTTTGACTTCCTCTATAAACTTAAAAGATCATTGAAGAAGTAGAGTTTTTGGAGAATTTGTGAACATGGAATAACAGATGTCCCTTTGTGACAGGACGAGAAAGAATCCCAGATTTCTAAGAAACCATTTCCATTGGAGCAGACCACTTTCCAAAACCACATTTCAAGTTCTGATTCCTCAACCAGAAAATCATCTGCTTCATTTACTCCCACTTACCTGGAAGTTTGGCTAATGTGCCATGTCCCTTCACACTCCAGGGCTCTTTCCTTTGCTCCAGACACATAATAAGATCTGGCTTAGAGACAGCAATTCCTGTTTAATTAGAAAAAAGTAACATGACTCTTGCTGGGGTTGTTAGATTACAAACCTAGTATTTGATCCATAGAGAACACATTATACAAGATTCTAGATAATTAACCCCAAAATACGGTTTCCCAATAAAACCTTTAGAACATTTAGATAGATTTTCAATTTATGGGTTTTTTTTTTTATTCTAAGTTGGAGTCTCACTCTGTCACCCAGGTTGGAGTGCAGTGGAAAGCTCATAGCCACTCCAGTTCTCACCTTTTGGGCTCAGGTAATTCTTATCAGTCAGCCTACCAAGTAACCAGAACTATAGGTGTGCATAACCACTCCCAGGCAATTTTTTGATTTAGTGTAGAGATGGGGTCTTGCCAAGTTGCCAAGGCTATTCTTGAAGCCATGGGCTCTGGCATTCCTCTCAACTCAGCCTCCTAAAGTGCTGGCATTAGATGACTGAGCCACCAAGCCTGGCCTTAAATTTGTGAGTTCTTAGTTCAGTACTAGTTAGTCAATAACTTATGGCAGCAATTGGAATGAGATGTGGGCAATGATATTTATGTCACTAAATTTCTGAACTTACCAATAATATAGCTAGAAGGACACTGGTCAATTTAAAATAGAAAAGGCTTCCTGTCAAAATGAAATATTCTTATTTTTTTAATTTTCCATGTTAACATATTACCAATTTTCATTGATAGTAGGAATCTGAAGCTCATTCATGCAAAGCAGAACTACCCAGAAAACGTTCTACAAAGGAAGGACATAAAATCCTTAGTATGAAATAGGGATTGTGTTTTGAAAGTTTCCTCACCTAGAAAAACCAGGTTTCTATGGTTCTCTAACATCACAGTCCTGTACAATAATCGCTGAGGGGAGTCTAGGCATTCCCACTCCTCTGGAGAGAATTCTATGGCCACATCCTTGAATGACAAAAACCCCTGAAAACAACAAAAACACATATTTACCAAGTCCCCCTGGCCTCTAGGTAAAGCAAGAGTAAAAAGAACAGGTCCAGCTGACAAGACAACTATTATTATGCAATAAAAAAATTCATAACACAGAAATATCCACTAATGCAATAACTGTGGGAAAAAAGAATGAAATAAAATCCTCAGCCAGTGTAGACTCTCTATTTTTGTGAAACAGCATAAAATGGACACCAACACAGACACATACATTTTAAATTACTGTTTATATCACACAGAATACGTTATGTATACTGCTCCTAGTAAGTCAGAAGATCCTCCACAAGTTTTAATTTGTAAAACAATGAATTGAATATCTTTTAAAAATGCAAATTCTGGGCCAGGCTTGGTGGCTTAGCCTGTAATACCAGCACTTTGGGAGGTCCAGGTGACTGTATTGTCTGAACCCGCGGGTTCAACACACGCCTGGGCAACTTGGCGAGACCTCATCTCTACAATAAATCAAAAATTAGCCGGGCGTGGTAGAACGTGCCTGTAGTTCCAGCTACTTGAAAGACTGAGGCGGAAGGATCACCGGAGCCCATCAGGTCAAGGTTGCAGTGGCCCAGAGCGGCCACCGCATTCCAGTCTGGGAGACAGAGTGAGACTCCAATTCAAAAAATAATAATAATAATAATGCAAGTTCTGATTCAGAATACATGGATTTAGCCTGAGGTTCTGTGCTTTTTTTTTTTCAACTGGTGTGTCTCATTTTTCTTTGTTTTTTTTTTGAGTTGGAGTCTCACTCTGTCACACAGACTGGAGTGCAGTGGCTGCTCCCCGTCACTGCAGCCTTGGCCTGCTGGGCTCCAGTGATCCTTCCACCTCAGCCTTCTAAGTAGCTAGAAATACAGGCGTACATTACTACACCCAGCTAGGTGTGTCTCATTCTGAACCAGGCTAGGGTGCCCTGGCATAATCACACTTTATTGCAGTCTCAATCTCCTTGGCTAAAAGAATCCATCCTCTATAGTGTCCCAAGTATTTGGGACAAATTGGTATCAGATGTCAAGGCACACATGGTGGAACACAACATCCATGCTGAGATTTTTTGGCCAAAAGTTATACTAATTTATTAATACTTTTTGAGTTGGATTCTCACTCTTCTCACCGAGACTGGAGTTCAGTGGTATTCTCATGGCCATTGCAGCCTCGACCTGCTGGACTTAGGCAATCCTTCTGCCTCAGCCTTCCAAGTATCTGGAACTACACAACATGCAATCATGCCTGGCTAGATTTTGTAATTTACTGTAGAGACAAGGTCTCACCAAATGCCCAAACTGTTCTCTAAACACAGGCTCAGGCAAATCTGTTGTCTTAGTTTCCCAAAGTGCTAGGATTACAGGCTGAGTCACCACACCCATCCAATATAGTAATTTATAATCTCAATTTAATAACAAGCAAGCTCGTGTTACACAGAAATGAGCTTACAGGTATCTCCCATGGCATGTAATCTCTGAAAGCGTATTTATATTTTTATTTTTTGGCATCCTAGCAAGTTTATTCTAGTTGTTTTTTTTTTTTTTTGTTTTTTTGAGTTGGAGTCTCACTCTGTTGCACAGACTGGAGTGCAGTGGCTGCTCCTGGCCACCACAGGCTTGACCTGCTGGGATCCGGTGATGCTTCTGCCTCAGCCTTCCAAGTAGCCAGAATTACAGGCATGTGCTACCATGCCCAGCTGATTTTTTGATTTATTGTAGAGATGAGGTCTTGCTGCCCAAGTGTGTCTCGAACCTACGGACTCAGGCAATCCACTCACCTCAGCCTCCCAAAGGCATGGGATTACAGACTGAGCCACTGAGCCCGGCTCTAATTATTCTTTATTCAGACTTTCTGGAGTTATTTGGGGCAGTAACTACCATCATGTTAAAATGTACATTTTATTAACCGTGTTCTGCAGGGAGCTGATGGAGCATCCAGACAGAACCTTAAAGTACATGTTCTGGGTAGGAGCAGAGATTCATTCCTATAATCCCAGCACATTGGGAGGCCATGGCAAAATAATTTCCTGAACCCTTGGGTATGAGACCAGCCTGGGCAACTTGGCAAGACATGTCTACAATAAGTTAAAAAATTAACTGGGCTTTGGTATCCATGAGTGTGCCAGTGCATTTCATTCTGGACAACAGAGTAAGACTACATACACATGTTTCTATCCTTCATTAGGATATGAGGATCTATCCAATTTCCAATGGGATTCTTGGTTACCATGCCTACCCATGATCCCTAGTAACAAGGGAACACTTTTTAATAATGCAGGTCATACATTCATGGTGAGAACAGTTTATGACAACTAAGCAGTATGGTTGAAGAGAACAGAAGAGGCTATGCAGTGTCTGACAGACCCATTGAATATCACAGGAAGAACAAAAATAGTTGAAACAGACTCATTAGGCAGGACCATCACAAGAATAGCAGCATGGTTTGCAAGTTTTACACACATGACATTCCTTCTGTTCTGGGACATATTTAGTTACCTGAGAAGCAGCCATTTTTTCTTTTTCCTCCTACTTCTTTGGGATTTCTTCTCAGGTGAGATCATTTAATCAAGTTACACCTACATTTTGAAAATACGTCTTTACTTATTTCAAAATTAAATGGAATGTATTTATTTTTTGTCAGTCTTACCACCCTCTTGGGAGCCCTTGCTTGCTCTCCTGTTTGCCTGAGGTTCTCTTTGATTTAATTCTTCCACCATCTCCCTGAGGTGGGTCTACATTTCCATTTAGGACAGTTTTCCTTTACAAATGCAAGATAATCCAGAAGACAGACATTAATTTTGCATTTCCCCTCAAGAACAGTGATGTGTCTGTAAGTGCACAGAAACCAGTCACCAAAATAAAATAAGTTTTTGTTACTAATTTAATAATATAAAACTTAGACCTAATCAATCCAAAATGGGACAGTCAACTCTCAAAAGTTCGACATAACTCCATTTTAGACTGGGGTGGAGAGGGGGGATCTCTGGCCTCTTTTTGTGTTTGCATGTAGCTAAAATAGTTTTGAAATGCTGGCAAGGTTGGCACCAGTATGCAGCTGTCCAGAATAACTCTGGGAAAGTGGGAGGAGTGCACTAACTAACTCTGTTTTGTTTAATAAAGGAATAAGGAGACTGTGAACCAAGGACAAAGATAATTCACCACTTTCCAGGACTCTTCTCATCGCCCAGATGTCTGCAAGTCTAAGCCACCTCTTGATCTTAGTCGCTCTCTATCCCACAGCCTGGATACAAATTTTGAAAAATCACACACAACCCAGGAGGGGTCTTTAGGATACCATCCCCTCATTTCCTTGGTTTTAATGTTCTACTAAATAAAGTCACAACCCCTGCTCCAACTCCTTATGTCGACAGAACCAGATTTGGACCTGGTGACATAAATGTGCAATGGCACTAATGACAGACCCTGGAGATTTCCTCCTAGCTAATTCAGATAAGGCCACTGCAGGACTGTCACCCAACACTTGCCCATCCCGGCTTCCCCTTGCCCCTTCTCAAATCCCTTCTTCCCTGGCCCTCTGGGATCCCCACACCCCGAGTCCTGGCTGGTGTTTCTGCACTCAAGAACCGCTGTTGGCCAAGAGGCATGCTTAATGTTGTGATGGAGCCACCGCTTAACTCCGGGGAGGAGAGAGGGAGTGGGCCAGAATCATAGCCTCCCCTTTCCCCCACCAGCGCTCCACGTGGGTTAGATCCTCTTCATAACCCTCGTGGGTTTGTCACACTTGGAGATGGTGAGCTGCACAGAGAGTGCTTAGCAGGCGATGTCGCTACAAGGTCAAAACCACAGGGTCCCGGCCCGGGCCCACCTACACTGAGGGGACCGGGCCAAGTCACTGGTGGTGATGGGCCCAGGCTCAGAACTGACGGAGAGGCCAGTCCCAAAAGAGCTGGGTCATCCAGGTCCATCCCCACTCCCCCTCTCGGGGACACTCACCACCTCCCACCTTCCGAGGGTCTCAGCGTCTGTCCTACGAATCTCCCAGGACCTGCATGTTACAGGGCAACACAGGCTAAAATGAAGATATGCATGACTGACGGAGGAAACTAAGGTCCTGTAAGAGCCCCGAAACTGCCCCCTCACTTCCAGCTCCTGTCTGATTGGCCATGTCAAACCCCAGCATCAGTTGATTGGAAAAAACCCCACGCCATCTGGTTTTGAGTGACAGGACATGCGATCAGACGTGTGCTGAATGAGGCAAGAGAATGTTGAGATTTCTCCCAGCTCCAGAATGTGGTAGGAACGTGTGAGGGGGCCCCTTACAGGACTTCCTGGAAACTCTGGCATCTGCATGGCTCCCAGTTGGTGGGTTGCGGAGCTGCAGGACTACAATCCCAGCGTGTCCCAGGAGAGGCAGTGTTGACCTACACTCCAGTGACCCACCAACTAGGAGCGACAAAAGCTCCCATCATGCCTCAAAGGGGCCTACAAGCCTCCGCCCCCCAGCCTTCTGCCCAGACTCCGGGGCAAGGAGAAATCTAAAGGCATTTTTGCCCATGGAGTCCTTCTCAGTTTACACCCACTGTTAGTCAAGACCAGAAGGGCAGGGCCTGAAGGTTCTTCCAATCAATGGGTGCTGAGGTCTGAACTGGTCAATCAGACGGGAGCTGGAAGTGACAGGGCAGCTTTTGGGCTCTGGTTGCCCCTTTGTCTCCTGCTACTGCACGGAGAGTTGGGTCGTCCTCTCTGCAGTGTCCAGTACTCTGGTAGCTATGTGTGTCTCTGCTTCAACCTCTGTCGCCCTGTGAACTGCAGGACGTGGAAGCCCTTGATGAGGCTGCTGGGACATCAGGAAGGTGGGAGAAGGTGAGTATGCCAGGGGTGACACGAGAGGGGAAGTGGATGAACTCGGATGACCCAGCTGTGGTGAGACCGGCCTTCCCCTAAGTTGACAGTGAACATGTCCCCGCCGGTAGCTGGGCCTGGTGCCCTCGGTGTAGGTGAGGCTAGGCTGGGACCCTGGGGACTTGTCCC